TTCCCCCTGGGGCTTCGGCCCGTCCCGCCGGGGTCCCGGGAAGGATCTCAAAACCTGATTGCAAAGGTTTTCCCTGCTCCGGACGGCTCCAAAACGGCCCAAGATGGTCTCCAAGATGCATTCAAGAGGGCCAAGATGGCCTCCAAGACGGCGAAGATGGTTCCAAGATGCCTCCAAGACGAACCAAGATGCACTCAACACGGCCTAAGATAGCCGCAACATGGCCCCAGACGGCCCAAGAGGCCTCCAATACGGCCCCAGAGGCCTCCAAGAGGTCCTCCAGGAAAGCCCGAAGAAGCCAAAATCATTGATTGGACGTCCCGAGATCTTTTCAAGGCAGGGGCTCAGATGAACGATCGGCTGCGCGTCCTGGCGCTCAGCTGTGAGGCACCATCAACCACAGAGAGAAAAATGAGACAAAGTATGTGCAGTGATGTGTATTACGCATGCTCGACAGGGTTCGGGGAGGCGGGGGACCAGAGAAGCTATGTGATGCAAGAAAGAGCGGAGCCAAAACGGCGACAGATTGAAAACCCCTCTTGACTTCCTTCACGTGCAATTACAAACCAAGACGTCCCGAGATCTTTTCAAGGCGGGGACTCAGATGAACGATCGGCTGCGCGTCCTGGCGCTCAGCTGTGAGGCACCATCAACCCAAGCCGTTCCCAAGAATGTTTACTGGGGGGGCGGGCAAGGGCGATTATATAAAGACGCGCCATTCACTCAAGAGGACTTTGGCTAGCTTCCTATTGAGGGCTGGCGGATAAGCAGCGGCGATAGCCGTCCATTTCGCACCATTCGGAGCGTTGCCCTCAAGCACGAGGTGATGACGGCCAGACCTAGAGCAAATTCCGTTAATCTGACAACACCTACGGTCGAGACAACTGCTATCTAGACTATCAATGTTGAGACACAGGAATCTAGTTCGCTTCCGCCAACGGGCCCCCTCTTGACACTGGTCGAGACATCTCACAATGGCCCCCCGATCTATAACCCCCTGAACCTCTCTCGTGAAAAACACGCGTGAATTCACAGGGTGCTCGAGTATACAAGGAACTCCAAAATTCTCACAACATCTGATGATGGCCAACGCGGCCCGCATGGTCTTATTCCCGGACGCCAGGCGAGCCAGCTGCTTTTCACTCAGAAGATGCCGTGGGAGCCCCCAAGGCTGCGAAGCGGAGCGGATGGCCCCCACTCGGTCGGCCGCGGCGGTCCAGGGCCCGCACGGCGGGGCCAGCATCACGGCCAAGACGCGGCCCGCAGCGATGTCCGAGCACAGGTCTCTTAGGACCGGCCGCCTAGTGAGGTCGCCGCCCGGCCCGTGCAGCGTGTCCCAGAACCTGACCGGCACTCCCATCGCCAACGCGGCGCGCCCGACGCCCCCCTTGCCGCTGAAGCAGTCCGCCAGGTAGCGGCCAGTCAGGCGGGGCCGAGCTCCCGCAAGTCGACCGGCGAGGCGCGACCCAAAATGATGTCCGCGAGCTGAGCCTCGCAGACCAGGAACACGCTTTGCCGGGCGCTGCTCAGCGTCGCCCACGTGGCCGCCAGCCGGGCATGCTTCTCGTAGCGGGCGACGCTGCGGGTGGTCTTCCACTGGCCGCGTTTTTGCACGTCGGCCAACCGCCGCCACCTCCTCGCCATGTCTGTTGAGGCGCCCGAGTGGCGCGTCTGATACGGCACCACCTTGGCCTGCAGCTCCTCCAGGCACAGGCTGAACATCTTGCAGTACTCGGGGTACGTGAAGTTCCACAGGCACTCGGGGTGCCCCTCGTTCTTCATCTGGCGCAGCACGGGGTCCAAGAAGCGAATCCAGGGCGAGTCTTACTCCAGCGACACGTCGCCCAGGCCCGTCTTGTCCCGCAGGTCCTCCTCCTCCGGGAAGAGTCTCAAGGTCCAGAACTCGCACACACCCGCAGCCGGCGGCACCAGGCAGGCCGGCTTCAGGAGCAGGAGGCTTCTGGGGCGGGCGTACACGCTCACCGCTATCAAGGTGAACACCGCCATCTGGAGGCTGCCCCGGGCCTTCATGCGCCACGCCATCGCGCACCACAGCGCCAGCGCCCACGGATTCCTCGTCCGCGGCGGTTCCAGCCGCCGCCAGGCCCGGAGGCATCTCCAGGCCCGGGGGAGGCGCCGGGCACCATAGCGCGCGAAGTCAGGGCTGAAGTGCAGGACGCCCGCCATCAACTTTTCGGCCCAAGAGAGGTGAGTCCCGGCCTGGTACAAGCCGTTCAGGTAGTTCACCAGCGCCGAGTCCACCACGGAGTCGCCCCGGCCCTTCATGACCTCGTCGATGTCCACCGAGGGCCAGCTTCGACGGGCAAAATCCCGCCAGCCGTCCCAGGCCCTCTGGTACTCGCGCTGCGTCGGGGCCCGCACCGCCTCCCGCTCCAGGAGGGAGAAGCCCTCCTCGCTGGCCGGCATCCCGTAGTGGCGGGCTCGGCGCCTCTGCGACTGCGCAAGCCTGCGCTGCCGCGCGGCGCCGGTCACGACCTCGGGCTCGGAGCTCCCGCTGTCGGAGGAGCCGACGCTCTCTGGCGCTCCCCGCGCGGGCTCCGCCGGCACAGGCTGCTCCGCCAGGCCCTCCACCACCTGCCCCAGGCTCCGCGGCAGGGGACGGCCCAGCACGGCCGCCCTCAGGTGCCTCGACTCGCCCAGCTGACGCCCCCGCCGAGCCGCCGGCAACGGCTGCGGCGCTATCGGCGGAGCAGGGACCAGCTGCCGGACGCGCCACGCCCCCTGGCTGCCCGCCGACGCCTGCGGGCCGGGCTCCGGCGAGACGGCGCCAGCTGGCGAGTGCGCCGGCGAGGGCTCCGAGAGCGGCCTCGCACGCCCGGTGCTCGGGGGCGCGCGGGCGGCATCGCGGGCTGCGGCGCTCCCGGGCGCGCGCTCGGGCGCGGGCCAAGCGGGGCCCCGCCCTGGGCCCACCCGGGAAAGCTCGAGCTCCAACAACTCAGCCAGAAGAGTGGACTTTGCGCCGTCGGGGTCAAACAGCCGTGAGGGGAGGTCGGCACAGTTGAGCTCGCTGGGTATCCAACGAATCGAACAGCGGATGTTCCGGCTCAGACAGATTGCGTGAAATCGACGAATTTGGATCAACCAGTTGAAACACGAACTTCTTCCCCGATTGAAGCTTAGCACGACCGACATATTGTCACATAGCAGGAGCTGTCGCATGTGGGACCCGAAAACCGTGGTGGCGATACGATGGATGCTGCTGACCAGGGCCCGGGCCTCCAAGGTGAGGACGCCCTCGGGGTGCTGCCAGGCTCTAGCGAAACAGGGCTCCCATAGGCTTGCACGGAGCCCCTGGGCGGGCACTTCTGGGAAGTCCCTCACAACGTCCCACTGGCTCAGCTCTTCCTCATTCTCGGGGAGGCCCTTGAGTTCCCACTTTCCACTCTCGCCCATACCGAAGCCGGCGGCACAGAGCGCAGGCTCCCGAGCACTGCGCGCGCACCGCCGGCGAAAGCGGGCCCGCTCAGGCACGCGCCCGACCGACTCCACCAGCTCCCGCGGCCAGAAGGCCCTCGCCAGTCCGTAGCCGTGGAGGCTGGCATCCGACTGCTGCACCATCGGGTTCCAAGGCAGCCACCAGTCTGACTCCAAAAAGTACATCAAGGAGCTGAAGGCGGCCAGCTCACGCCGCGCCACGGCCCATAGCACGGCCGCGTCGACGTAGCGCGCCCGCACGAAGCCATATGCTGAATTGAAAGCCGACAGGGTGCCGCGCGAGCAGAGGCCGCAGAAGGTCAGGTGGCCCAGCACGGCTTCCACTGCCCAGCCTTTGACTCGGCGGCGGGCAAGAAGGCCCCGCACGGCCTGGCGGCAGCGCCAGAACCGATCACCAGTCACCCGGGTGCGCAGCTGGCTGCCGTCGATCTCGGTGCCGAGCGCCACCGCCATGCCCGGCACCAGCTCGCCCTTGTGCAACAGCAGGTTCAGCTCGGTGCACTCGCCTGTCAGCTGGCCCATCACGCCGCTCACGAGCTGGGAGAAGAGCGAGAAGACCCCCAGGATGTCGACGTAGACGTAGTGCCTGATTTCCTGGGGCGCCCTGCCAGGCGCGAACACGAGCGGCGGCCCATGGTCCGAGAAACCAGGCTCCCTCAGGAGCGGGCTGCCGCGGCGGCTGACCTCCTCGTTGGCCCGCTGGGCGAAGTAGGGGGCCAGCTCAAACCCATGGGCAGCACCTGCCAGCACGGGTAGATCGCCGTCGACGCCTGCACCTTGGCCCCTCCGACCTCGGTCACGCCCAAGGCCCCCGCCTTGCCAGGAGGCAGGCAGAAGTACCGCGAGAGAGCTGAGTCGATCCGCATTCGGTGAAAGCAGTCTTTCACGTCCGCCATGCCGATGTACACCTGCTGCGCCTCCAGCGCGGCGCGGAGGTCCTCGTAGCTATAGGGGCCCTCATCTGGCAGGTGCACCTCGATCCTGGCGAGGCCCTCGCTGCTTAAGAGCTCCACCCCAGGGGGATCCCTGAAGTGGGCGTTCGCACGGCGGGCGTCGACTATGAGGCGAAGTCGCCGCCGCCCATACTTCCACACAAAAAACATCCCGATTCTCTCTTTCGGTGCTAGAGTCCACCCCAGCATGCCAGCCGACAGCAGCCGGCGCACCAGGCCGCGGTACTCCTTGTGGTTGAACTTGAGGACCGAGTCGAAATACGGCTCGACGTCGGTCGGCAATGGTGCCGGTCGTAGCATGCGCTCTTGGCGCTCCCGCAGGAAGGTAAGGGCCTCGCCAGGCAACAAGTCCTCGAGACGCGGGCAGTCCCTCACGTCCGTCGGCATGCTGACGAGCCCTGCACTGTAGGAGGCAACCGTCGTCGGGCCGCCGCGCCCGTCATAGGGCGAGCGGCCCCGCAGCAGCTCCCGGAGGGCCGCCTGCGGCTCGTGCAACTTGGCGTCCAGCTGCCGGCCCCGAACGAGGCCCCCGAAGCGCGCAAGTACATCTCGCTGCATGCCATTGGCCGGGCCAGGCTGCGAGTCGTACCCCTACATCCAGTTGATGGCGTCGAAGACCCCGTTAACCTCGCACGCAATACGAGCCTCTCGCCCGAACTGCCTGGCCCGGCTAGATCTGCCGCGAATTCGGCGGCCTGTGTCACCCAGCAGCGGGAGCGGCAGGAAGCTGCGGGCTCCTCGCGAGGGCGGCAGGCGGCCACCGTCGTGCCCCGGCAAAAACGGCCCGGGGGAGGGGCTGGAGCCCCCGGGCCCGGGGGCAGTCAAGGCCCCGTGGAGGCGACGCCCCTGGCCCGCCCGCGCCCGCGGCCGCCTCGGCCGCCACCACGCCCCGCGCCAGCTGCGTCACCTCCAGCTCCTTCTGCTCCTTCGACTGTCTCAGGAGGCGCCCCGCGCAGCGTCCGCGCCCGGTTCTGCGCCTGCTCCATCTCGTGCTGCTCCTTCGCCCGCTGGTGGACGCAGCCCCTGAGCTCGGGGCCCGAGACGTCCTCCACCGAGCTCACGCCCTCGAAGAAGCGCGCGTTCGTCCAGCTCGGCTTGGACGGGTCCGCGTAGGCGTCCACCACCGCCGCCACGCGGCGCGACAGCACCTCCACCATCATCAGGCCGCCCATGTTCAGCTGGTCGTAGACCCCGCCTTGATACAGGGCCTCCACGATGGCCCTCAGCTCGTGCACCACGCGATCGCCTTGGCCGAGCCCCTTCATGCGGATGAAGAGGTCGAGCCAGAGCCGAGGGTCGCCTCCGTGCCTTTGCATGTGCTTGCACATGTGGAGAGCCCCGGGCGGCCCGTCCACCTTCGCGTCGGGGTAGCGCCCCTGCCGCGACTCGCCCACGACGTCTCCCCACCGCTTGAACCGCCCCCCCTGCTCGTCGTAGTCGACCCAGAGCGCGCGAGCGTCAGCATAGCGCTCCTCGCCCGGCGGCTCCGCGGGGGCCGGCAGCGCCAGCTCGGGCGTCGCGGCCCCGCCCAAGGGCTCGGCGAGCCCCTCCTCCACGGGCGGGCCAGCACCACCCGCGCGACGGCGCTCCGGGTCCGGGGCCCGCGCCGGGCCCCCCTCCAGGCTCTGCCAGGCGGCCGCCTCCGCGGCCACGCGCGATGGGGCGGCCCCCACGTCCAGCCGGGCGAGCCGCACCATGCCGCCGTCGGCGGTCTTCAGAACGCCGAACGGCTCGGCCCCGTCCTCGAAGCTCACGCCGTCCGCGCTCGCCACGTCGACCTCCGCCCCGATCGCGATGTCCGGCCCACCGCTGAGGGCGAACCAGGCCTGGCCCGCACCCGGGGCCTCCAGCAGCCGCCCGCCCATCCGGGCCACGGCCATGCCCAGGCGCAGCAAACGGCCACGCTCCGCGGCCGACAGCTTGCCGGCGGCCTCCTGCCAGGTGACCTGCTGGCCGTCAGCGGCCAAGGCCTCCCTCGGCTCGGGCAGGGAGGCGCCCCACTCGAGCGCCATCTCCTGGCCACGCTGCAGCGCGTCGGCCAGCTCGTCGGGCCCCAGCCGCTCCCGGAACCGGTACAGCCTCCTCATCTTGCGCGTCCGCAGCGCCAAGGGGAAGGCCCGCGAGGGCCCGCTCTCCGGGACGCTGCAGCTCAGGTCCTCGGGGTAGATGTCCCCGTCCGGGGTCAGGATGACCCACTGTCCGTTCCCCAAGTAGTGCAACAGCACCCGCTCGTGGTCCACGTCGTCGTCGGCGAAGCGGCAGACCACGCGATCCCCTGGGAGCGCCCTAGTACCACTCCCGCCCCGCGTCGCCGCGGAGCCACGCCACGAGCGCCGCCATTCCGGCGGCCGACGACCTTCGCCACCAGCCAGTGCACCAGGCCGCCCAGCAGCGCCCCCACCAGCTTCTCCGCCGCCTTCTCGCCGGCCGTCGGCTCTGGGCACGCCCGAGCCTCGCAGGCCGGGCAAGCCGCGCACGGCGGCGGCTCGCACGCCGGGCACGCCGCGCACGGCGGCGGCTCGCAGGCCGGACAGGCGGCGCAGGCCGCCGGCTCCGGGCAGGCCGCGCACGCCGCCGCCTCGGGGCACGCCGGGCAGGCGGGGCACGAGAGGTCTGGGCAGCTCGGCTGCCCCTGGCCCCAGCCCGGCGCGAAGAACGCCGCGGCCTCCAGCGCCAGCACCGCCCAGGCTGGCAACGCGGCCGCCCCGCCAGGGATGGCGACCGCGTCCATCAGTCTCTGGACCAGAGAAGCTATGTGATGCAAGAAGGAGCGGAGCCAAAGGGGCGACAGATTGAAAACACCTCTTGACTTCCTTCACGTGCAAGCACAAACCATTCCTTTGGTATTTGAATGATTTGGGCATGTGAGCCTTGTCGGCCTTCCGACGGCTCAAGACGGCCAAAAAAAGGCCCCCAAGATCGCCCCAAGAGGGCCCCATGACGGCCCAAGTGGCCTCCAAGACGGCCCAAAGAGGGCCCCAAGACGGCCCGAGATGCCTCCAACACGCCCAAGATGGCCTCCAAGACGCCCAAGATGGCCTCCAAGACGGCCCCGAAGCACCCCAAGAGGGCCCCAAGTCGGCCCAGAAAGGCCCCCAAGACGGCCCCCGACGGCGTCAGACGTGCCAGGAACCCACCAAGATGGCCGAAGTTGGCTCGAAGCTGGCCCAAGACGGCCCAAGAGGCCCCCAAGAGAGCATCCAGGAAGGCCAGAAATAGCAAAAAGCATTGATGTTCCTAAGGTTTTTGACGGATGTTGACATTTGCTTCTTTTCTGCCTTCCGACGGCCCGAGACGGCCCAAGAGCCCCCAAAGATCGCCGAAAGATCGCCCAAGAGGCCTCCAAGATGGCCCCAGAACGGCAGAAGAGGGCCCCAAGACGGCCCCAAGAGGCCCCCAAGACGGCACAGGAGGCCTTTAAGACGCCCAAGATGGCCTCCAAGACAGCCCTGGAGCATTCCAAGAGGGCCCCAAGTCGGCCCATTGAGGCCCCCCAAACGGCTTCCGACGGCGTGAGACGGACCAGGAGCCCACCAAGATGGCCGAACATGGCCCTAAGATGGCCCACGACGGCCCAAAATGCCTCCAAGAGGGCCTCCAGGAAGGCCCGAAAATGCCAAAATCATTGATTTCCCATGATTTTTGAAGAATTGTGGCATTTGCTCTTTGCTCGGCCTTCCGACGGCCCGAGACGGCCCAAGTGCCCCCAAAGATCGCCCAAGAGGCCCAAGACACGGCCCCAAGAGGCCCCCAAGACGGCCCAAGAGGTCTCCAAGACGCTCAAGATGGCCTCCAAGACGGCCCAAGAGGCCTTCAAGACGTCCTCCAAGAAGGCCCGAAAGGGTCAAAATGGCCTCCAGACGGCCAAGATGACCTTCAAGATGCCCACGTGTTCCCCCAAGGCTTTCCAAACCGATTCGGGGAACACATGGTCCGATAGCTTGGCAGGTCTGGCCTCAACGTTCGGCCACATAGGCGCTTCCAAAAAGGCAGGGGGCGGCGGTGATTTGCCGTAGGCGTCTTCAATCCGCCGCCCCCTTTTGATTTATCAAAGGAGTGCCCGTCGTGCCAGATTATATGGCTTTGGTTTTGGTTCTTTTTCCAAATAAACTCCCCCTGGGGCTCCGTCACGTCCCGCCGGCCACGTCAGGTTTGCTACAACGGGGGCGATGACGTAACATGGACGCCTGTGATGTTGCGAACAGCAATCGGAAGGCTCACAGGCCCCAGATCAAGATATAAGGGCGTCGTAGTGGTTACTAACGCAGCCCCCCCAGGGACGGCGAGGTCTCGCTCAGGTCCCCGCGGTGCCTCACTCCGCTGGACCCAACAGCAGCCCTCGGAAGTGGCGACAGTGTCGCAGATCACCGCCCTGAAAGCGGCGGCATACTGCGCCCGCCGTGCGGGGGCCGCCGGGGGAGCCCGTGACTGTACAACGGCCAAGGCTGCTGGGGCCAGAGGCTGCGCGGCGGCCGTCGTAAGGCTGGCCTGCTGCTCGGGCGCCCCCGCGGGCACTGCCGGCGGGGGCGCACGGGCGGGCGCCTGGAGCACCGCGAGGCGCAACCTCAGCGACGCAAGGCGCGCTACCTTGAGCTGCACAGCCTCGGGGGCCAGGGTCGTCATCTCCCTGGCGACACGATGGACCCACACTTTGTCCCCAGCCGGGCCCGCCACGGGGTTGGGAAGCTCGTCCCACGGCACGTCTAACGCCTGGAGCTGCGCGAGCTCACCTTTGATAGCCTGGAGCTTTGCAGAATCGCCTACGGCTGCGGGGGGGGGGCGAACAAGCTGGCGCCGGTGCCGGCCGCCGCGGGCGGGCGAGGCGCGGGGGCCACCAGCGCCGACACTTCGCCTGGGGCGGAGGCCGGCAGCGGGTCGGGTACGGGAACCGCGGAGCTGGCGCTGCCCGCAGCCTCCAGCCGCGGGCGCGCCGAGCTGGCGCCCGCCGGCCGCCTTGGGCACAGCTGAGGGTCCCGGGTGGTCCCATGGAGCCAGGCCGGAGCTGCGATGCATGAAATATAATGCGCCGCTGCCCACGTCACGCCGGGACTCCCCCCCTGGCGGGAGGGGCGGTGGGCTCAGAAGCGGCGGGCCCGGAGACGGGGGCAGCGGGCTCGGCGGAGACGCAGGCGCCGCGGCCCTCGGCGTGGCCGGGGCCGACAGCCGTGTGGCCGCTGCCAACCGCGCCCGCACTTGGCGGCGGAGGCGGGGGCGGCGGCGGCGGAAGCGGCAGCGAATCCACCGGCCCAGCGCCTATCCAACGCTCCGGGGGCGACCCTGGTGACGAGGCCCGCGGCGCCGCGGGGGAGCGCCCGGAAGAGAAGCCACTGAAGTCGCCAGGTGGGGGGTTCGTGGCCCCCTCGCTTTGTTTCGAGGCCCCGTTGTAGCCCTTCGTGGCCCCCTCGTTGCCCAGCGTGGCCCCGTCGCAGCCCTTCGTGGCCCCGTTGCAACCCTTCGCGGCCCCCTCGCTGCCCTTCGTGGCCCCCTCGCCGCCCTTCGTGGCCCCATATATGTCTGCCTCCGTGGCCCCCGCTCGTTCGCGCCCGTGGTGGCCCCACATGCATGCCCTTCGTGGCCCCGCTGTCGCCCTTCGTAGCCCCCTCGCTGCCCTTCGTGGCCCCGTTGCTGCCCTCAGTGGCCCCGTCCTCCCTCCGCGGCCCAGTATACGTATGCCCTTCGTGACCCCCGTTCGTTTGCGCCCGTTGTGGTCCCATGTGCATGCCCTTCATGGCCCCGCTGTCGCTGTTTGTGGCCCCTCTCACTGTCCTACGTGGCCCAGTTGCTACCTTCAGTTGCCCCGTCGTTGCCTTCTGGGGTCCCCGCATGATCTGCCCTTCGTGGCCCCCGATCGTTCGCGCCCGTCGTGGCCCCATGAGCATGCCCTTCGTGGTCCCGTTGTCGCCCTTCGTGGCCCCCTTCCTGCCCTTCGTGGCCCCGCTGTCGCTGTTTGTGGCCCCCTCGCTGCCCTTCGTTACCCCGTTGCTGCCCTCATTGGCCCCGTCCTTTCCCTCCGCGGCCCAGTATACGTATGCCCTGCGTGGCCCCCGCTCGTTCGCGCTCTTCGTGGCCCCATACGCATTCCCTTCGTGTCCCAGCTGTCGCCCTTCGTGGCCTATTTCGTGTCCTTGTGGCCCTGCTGTCGTTCTCTCTTGCTCTCGCTTTCGCTCGTCGTCGTCGTCGCCGTCGTCGTCGTCGTCGCCGTCGTCGTCGTCGTCGTCGTCGTCGTCGTCGACGTCGTCGTCGTCGTCGTCGTCGTCATCGTCGTCGTCGTCGTCGTCGTCGTCGTCGTCGTCGTGGTCGGTCCCCTGTCCGCCCCTCTTGGGGTCGGGTCGACGGTCCGCGGCCGCCCCGCCGATCAGCGCTGCCGCTGGCCAGGCCGACGGTCCGCGGCCGCCCCGCCGCTTGCCGGGGCCCGGCCTGTAGGGAATAAAATTATCCCGGCAAAGCAACCTAACAGCGATGTGTAGGAGCATATCTGGAAGCATTCCCCTTAAGATTCAGATGAGAATCCAGTTGTAGAATTCTGCTGTTCTCGCAGTCGTAGTCGCATTCGCGATGACAGTCGCAGTGGCAACGGCAGTCGCAGTCACAGCCTCAGCCTCAGCCTGCCTCAGCCTCAGCCTCAGCCTGCCTCAGCCTCAGCCTGCCTCAGCCTCAGCCTCAGCCTGCTTCAGCCTCAGCCTCAGTCTGCCTTCAGCCTCGGCCTCAGCCTCAGCCTGCCTCAGCCTCAGCCTGCATCAGCCTCAGCCTCAGCCTCAGCCTGCCTCAGCATCAGCCTGCCTCAGCCTCAGCCTCAGCCTGCCTCAGCCTCAGCCTCAGCCTGCTTCAGCCTCAGCCTCAGTCTGCCTTCAGCCTCGGCCTCAGCCTCAGCCTGCCTCAGCCTCAGCCTGCATCAGCCTCAGCCTCAGCCTCAGCCTGCCTCAGCATCAGCCTGCCTCAGCCTCAGCCTCAGCCTGCCTCAGCCTCAGCCTCAGCCTGCTTCAGCCTCAGCCTCAGTCTGCCTTCAGCCTCGGCCTCAGCCTCAGCCTGCCTCAGCCTCAGCCTGCATCAGCCTCAGCCTCAGCCTGCCTCAGCATCAGCCTGCCTCAGCCTCAGCCTCAGCCTGCCTCAGCCTCAGCCTCAGCCTGCTTCAGCCTCAGCCTCAGTCTGCCTTCAGCCTCGGCCTCAGCCTCAGCCTGCCTCAGCCTCAGCCTGCATCAGCCTCAGCCTCAGCCTCAGCCTGCCTCAGCATCAGCCTGCCTCAGCCTCAGCCTCAGCCTGCCTCAGCCTCAGCCTGCTTCAGCCTCAGCCTCAGTCTGCCTTCAGCCTCGGCCTCAGCCTCAGCCTGCCTCAGCCTCAGCCTGCATCAGCCTCAGCCTCAGCCTCAGCCTGCCTCAGCATCAGCCTGCCTCAGCCTCAGCCTCAGCCTGCCTCAGCCTCAGCCTCAGCCTGCTTCAGCCTCAGCCTCAGTCTGCCTTCAGCCTCGGCCTCAGCCTCAGCCTGCCTCAGCCTCAGCCTCAGCCTCAGCCTCAGCCTCAGCCTCAGCCTGCAGCCTCAGCCTCAGCCTCAGCCTCAGCCTGCCTCAGCCTCAGCCTGCAGCCTCAGCCTCAGCCTCAGCCTCAGCCTCAGCCTGCAGCCTCAGCCTCAGCCTCAGCCTGCCTCAGCCTCAGCCTGCCTCAGCCTCAGCCTCAGCCTGCCTCAGCCTCAGCCTCAGCCTGCTTCAGCCTCAGCCTCAGTCTGCTTCAGCCTCGACCTCAGCCTCAGCCTGCCTCAGCCTCAGCCTGCCTCAGCCTCAGCCTCAGCCTGCCTCAGCATTCAAAATGTGGCCCGGGAATTGAGTTCTGGGAACTCGAAGAACACGAAGTGGCCTACAGTTGGCTCCGGGCATTCAAAATCATGCCCAGGAATGGAGTTCTGGGAACTCGAAGAACACGAAGTGGCCTACAGTTGGCTCCAGGCATTCGAAATCATGCCCAGGAATGGAATTCTGGGAACTCGAAGGCCACGAAGTGGCCTACAGTTGGCTCCGGGCATTCAAAATCATACCCAGGAATGGAGTTCTGGGACCTCGAAGACCACGAAGTGTGTAACTGTTTGCTGAAAACCACTTCCGCGGATTCTCCCCGGCACCCGTCCGGCAACTGCCCAAACACCCCTGTGGAGTCATGATGCTTTCTTTTGAGACCATTAGAAACCTATCAGTCTTCGCTGTTACGTACATATACCCCACAAAAGGGATTCGATCGAAGACAAAGAAGGCGTGCATCGAGGGTTTGGAAATACGTCGTGTTGGACACTCGAGCAGATAAGGGCGAAAAGTTTTAAATGATTGTTGTTGTTGTTGCTGCTGCTGTTGTTGCTGTTGTTGCTGCTGCTGTTGCTGTTGTTGCTATGATTTATGTTGGTGGTGTTGCTGTTGATGTCGTTGTCGTTGCTGGTGTTGTTGTTGTGGCTGCTGTTGCTGGTGCTGTTGCTGTTGTTATTGTGATTGTTATTATTATTGTTACTGGTATTGGTATTGTTAATGTTAGTGTTATTGTTATTGTTATTCTTATTGTTATTGTTCTTATTGTTATGATGATGATTATTATTATTATTGATATTATTCATAAAAATAATAATAATATTACTAGTATTGTTATTATTATTATTACTGTTATTGTTATTGGTATTGTTATTGTTATTGTTATTGTTATTGTTATTGTTAGTGTTGTTACTGTTATTGTTATTGTTATTGTGATAGTGGTTGTTATTGTTATTGGTATTGTTATTGTTATTGTTGTTGTTGGTATTGTTATTGGTTTTGGTATTGGTATTGGTTGTGTTGTGTGTTTGTTAGTGTTATTGTTATTGTTATTGTTATTGTGAGTGTTAGTGTTATTGCTATTGTTATTGTTATTGTTATTGTTATTGGTATTGGTAGTGGTATTCTTATTGGTAGTGCTGCTGTTGTTGAACTCTCACTTCTGAAGAATAATTATTGCTGGTCCCCCCCGTCCGGTGCACATTGTTTTTTCGATTGAAGTGCCCTTCCCGCGGCTCGCACCCTGTTTTTTCATCAGGGCAAGTCTTGAGCGTCAAACTGCGTCGTTGGCCCCCGGATAACAACAACAACAACAACAACAACAACGGTTTCCGCCGGAGACTTCCTCACAACTTAGCCAGGACCCCCGCTCCCGCCCGAGACTTCCTTGCATCTTATTCAGGAATCGCGCTCTCGGTTGGGACTTCTCCTTAGAATGTATTCAGAAATCGTTTTCCCGCCGCCCTGGAGTCGCGCTCTCGCTGGAGACTTGCTTGCAATGTACTGAAGAATAGCGTCCTTGCGGTGGAAATTCATGCAATTTGATGAAGCGCCTCGCTCGGGACACCCAGGCACCCAGGAGTCGCGCTCACGTTTAGGACTCCCTCACAGATTACCTAAGAATCGGGATGTCGCTGCCCTTCGTGGCCCCGTTGCAGTCCTTCGTGGCCCCCTCGCTTTGTTTCGTGGTCCCGTTGCAGCCCTTCGTGGGCCCCTCGCTGCCATTCGCGGCCCCGTTGCAGCCAATCGTGGCCTCCTCGCTGCCCTTCGTGGCCCCGTTGTAGCCCTTCGCGGCCCCCTCGCTTTGTCTCGCGGCCCCGCTGTAGCCCTTCGTGGCCCCCATCGCTGCCCTTCGTGGCCATGTCGCAGCCCTTCGTGGCCCCATTGCAGCCCTTCGCGGCCCTCTCGCTGCCCTTCGTGGCCCCCATCGCTGCTTTTCGTGGCCCCATATACGCATGCCCTTCGTGGCCCCCGCTCGCTCGCGCCCGTGGTGGCCCCACATGCATGCCCTTCGTGGCCCCGCCGTCGCCCTTCGCGGCCCCCTCGCTGCCCTTCGTGGCCCCGTTGCTGCCATCAGTGGCCCCGTCCTTGCCCTCCGCGGCCCAGTATACGCATGCCCTTCGTGGCCCCCGCTCGTTCGCGCTCTTCGTGGACCCATACGCATTCCCTTCGTGTCCCCGCTGTCGCCCTTCGTGGCCTACTTCGTGTCCTTCTGGCCCTGCTGTCCTTCTCTCTCGCTCTCGCTTTCGCTCATCGTCGTCGTCGCCGTCGTCGTCGTCGTCGCCATCGTCGCCGACGTCGTCGTCGTCATCGTCGTCGTCGTGGTCGTCTTGGTCGGTCCCCTGTCCGCCCCTCTTGGGGTCGGGTCGACGGTCCGCGGCCGCCCCGCCGATCAGCGCTGCCGCTGGCCAGGCCGACAGCCCGCGGCCGCCCCGCCGCTTGCCGGGGCCCGGCCTGCAGGGCAGAATGGTATACCGCCCAAAAAGGGTTCGATCAAAGACGAAGGGCGGGCATCGAGGGTTTGGGAAATACGCGTGATTGGACACTCGAGCTGATAAGGGCGAACAGACTTAAAATGATTGGTGTTGCTGTTGTTGTGGTTGTGGTTGTTGTCGTTGTTGGTGTTGTTGTTGGTGGTGGTGTTGTTGTGGTTGTGGTTGTAGTTGTGGTTGTGGTTGTGGTTGTGATTGTTGTTGTCGTTGTTGTTGTTGTCGTTGTTGATGTTGTTGGTGTTGTTGGTGTTGTTGCTGTTGTTGCTGGTGTTGTTGTTTGCTGTTATTGTTGTTATTGTTGTTATTGTTGTTATTGCTGTTGCTGGTGTTGTTGCTGCTGTTGTTGGTGGTGATGTTGTTGTTGAACTCTCATTTCTGAAGAAGAATTATTGTTGGCCCCCCCCGCACGGTGCACATTGTTGTTTCGATTGAAGCGCCTTCCCGGGGCTCGCACCCTGTTTTTTCATCAGGGAAAGTCTTGAGGGTCAAACTGTGTCGTTGGGCCCCGGTTTACAACAACAACGGCTCCCGCCTGAGACTTCCTCACAATTTAGCCAGGACCCTCGCTCCCGCCCGAGACTTCCTCGCGCTTGTTTCACGAATCGCGCCCTCGCGTGGGACTTCCTTGGAATTTATTTCCCCGGCGCTCTGGAGTCGCGCTCTCGCTGGAGACTCGCTTGTAATTTACTCAAGAATAACGCAATTGCATTGGAATTTCTTACAATTTACTCAAGCGCCGCGCTCCCGACACCCAGGCACCAGGGAGTCGCGCTCACGCTTAGGACCCCCCTCAAAGATTACATAGGAATCGGGACATCGCTGCCCTTCGTGGCCCCGTTGCAGCCCTTCGTGGCCCCCTCGCTTTGCTTTGTTTCGTGGCCCCGTTGCAGCCCTTCGTGGCCCCCTCGCTCTGTTTCGTGGCCCCGTTGCAGCCCCATCGTGGCCTCCTCGCTGCCCTTCGTGGCCCCGTTGCAATCCTTCGTGGCCCCCTCGCTGCCCTTCGTGGCCCCGTTGCAGCCCTTCGCGGCCCCCTCGCTGCCCTTCGTGGCCCCGTCGCAGCCCTTCGTGGCCCCATTGCAGCCCGTCGCGGCCCCCTCGCTGCCCTTCCCGGCCCCGTTGCACCCCTTCGTGGCCCCATCGCTGCCCTTCGTGGCCCCGTCCATGTCTGCCCTTCGTGGCCCCCGCTCGTTCGCGCCCGTGGTGGCCCCAAATGCATATGTCCTGCGTGGCCCCGGCACTACCCTCAGCGGCCCCATCGTTGCCTTCTGTGGCCCTGCATCCTCTGCCCTTCGTGGCCCCCGCTCGTTCGCGCTCTTCGTGGCCCCATACGAATTCCCTTCGCGTCCCCGCCGTTGCCCTTCGTGGTCTACTTCGTGTCCTTCTGGCTCTGCTGTCGTTCTCTGTCGCTCTCGCTTTCGCTCGTCGTCGTCGACGTCGTCGTCGTCGTCGTCGTCGCCGTCGTCGTCGTCGTCGTCGCGGTCGGCCCCCTGTCCGTCACTCTTGGGGCCGGGTCGACGGTCCGCGGCCGCCCCGCCAATCAGCGCTGCTGCTTGCCAGGCCGACGGTCCGCGGCCGCCCCGCCGCTTGCTGGGCCCCGGTCTGCAAGGAAGAAAGGTACACCCACCAAAGAGGTTCGATCGAAGACAAAGAGGGCGGGCATCGAGGGCTTGGGATATAGACGTGATTGGACACTCGAGCAGATAAGGGCGAACAGTATTAAAATGATTGTTGTTGTTATTGTGTTGTTGCTGTTGCTGTTGCTGCTGATGTTGGTTTTGCTGATGTCATTGTTGATGTTGTTGTCATTGTTGTTGTTGCTGTTGTTGTTGCTGTTGTTGTAGGTGTTGGTGTTGTTGGTGTTGATCGTGTGATTGTTGTTGTTATTGTTATTGTTCTTGGTGTTGTGATTATTGTTATTGTTATTGTTAGTGTTATTGTTGTCGTCGTCGTCGTCGACGTCGTCGTCGTTGTTGCTGTGGTTGTTGTTGTGGTGGTGGTGTTATTGTTGTGGAACTCTCTTTTCTGAAAAAAATAAACATTGTTCCCCCCCACCACCACCACCCGCGCATACTTTCTTTTCTAAATCGACGCTCGCACTCTGTTGCTTGGCAAGGGAAATATTGATGCCCAAACTCTGCCCCTGGCCCCTGGGTTACAACAACGGCCCCCCCCCCTGCAACGTTTTTTGTTTGCCCCCCCCCCTAGCCCAAGGCAGCCGCGCCCCGCCCCGCAGCCCGCCCGAGCCCCCCCCCGCGCGCCCACGGTGAGCGCGGGGTAGGGGCACGCCCCGAAGGAGCGGGAGGTTCTCGGCCGAAGCCAGGAGGACCTCGAACCTGCCGCGGGCTAGCCTCGGCGCAAGGGGGCGCCCGCGCTGCCGCGGCGTGGCGCGGGGGCTCGCTCAGCCGCCGCCGGCAAGCCGCAGCTGCTGCCGCCGCGCTGCCCCTGCCTCCGCCGCCGCCGCCGCGGCCGACAGCCAGGCGGCCGCCGCCCCGGCCGCCTCCGCTGCCTCCAGCCGCCGCCGCTGCCAGCCGCTCGCGGCGCGGTCGTCCTGTCGCGGCCTGGCCTGCCCGCCGGTCGCTCCCAGGCCTGCGCCAGCTGCAGCGGGGTTCCGTTCAGCGCCCCAGGCGCGAGGCGGCCTGGCGCCAGCTGCCTCGTCCTCCTGGCGCGCGCTGCCTCCTCCTCTGCCTCCTCGGCCGCGCCGCCCCCCTCTCTGCCTCGGCGCCGCTGCGGCGGGGGCGCGGGCGCGGGGCGCGCAGGATGCGCAGTCTCTTGTGTTGCAAGTCGCTGTCGTGGCGCTGGTGCTCTTGGTAGTTGCTGCGTCGCTGCTCAGTGTTGTGGTAGTGCTGGAGCGGGCTTGGGCGTCGGTGCTGCGGGCGGTCGTCGTCGCGCTGCCTGTGGTGGTGATGCTGGCCACTGTCTTCGCGCTGCTTTTCGCCGTCGTAGTGCTTGTGCTGGTGGCGTAGTTGCTGGTCGCTGTCGTGGTGGCACTGCTGCTGCTGCTGCTGGTCGTCGCTGCGTTGCCGTCGGTGGGGGTCGCAGTCGTCGTCGTGCTGCTGGTGGCGCTTATGCTGTAGTCGTCGCAGTGTTGGTGCTGGTGTCGCTGCTGGTGGTCGTGGTAGTGGTGGTGCTGGTTGTCGCCGTCGTAGTCGTAGTGGTAATAGTGGTGCTGGTCGCCGTCGTGGTGGTTCTGCTGCTGCTGGTCGTCGTTGCATCGCCGTTGGCAGCGGTCGCTGTCGTCGCCGTGCTGCTGGTGGCGCTCGTGCTGGTAGCCGTCGTAGCGGCGGTGGTGCTGGCGCTGCTGGTAGTCGGCCCCCGCTGCCGCTCTCGCGGGGGCTCGCGTTCTCAGGGGAGCGCCGACAAGAGGCCCCCCCGCCAGGGTGCTTCTCCGTCCGCGGCTAGCGCCTCGATGGGCACGTGGATGGCAAAGGACAGCATGCCAGTCCACCTGCGCAGAAGCGCGGTTGTCAGCGACCCTCGGAGCGCAGCTGGCGCGCCCCTGGCCCGGGCCCGCGCCAAGACCACGAGGAACTTGCACGCTTCCTCGCCCGAGCGTCCGCCCGTTTCTGCTCCGGCCACCAAGAGGTAGCTGCGCCTGGAGCCCACGAGTTCGGGGTAGGTGGTCTGATTGCGGCGGCGGGCTCGCTGAAGCACAAGCCCCGGGCGGCGTCTCCGCGCGGCAGGCCTGCCAGCGGCCGTCAGCGGCGACGCGATGCAGGCATCGATGGCGACCTGGCGACCGTGGTAGGCCGGGAGGCCATTTGCGACAACCTCGATTCGGCGCCCGTCGTCGGCCCCGATGCCTGGCAGGTCCACGTCGCGCAAAAACACGTCGGTGCGGACGCGGCCCCCCGCCTCAAGGCACACCCTGGCCCACATCCGTTCGATGGGGGCGCCGCGTTTGAGCAGCCGTCCGCTGCGGGGGCAAGCTGCTCTGCGGTCGCCGCGCAAGTCAAGGCGGGCTTGGCAGGAGCGCCCGTGGCACCTGCTAGCTGCGGTGTCCGGAGGCAGGCGGAGCCGTCGGAGGAGCAGCGCGCGGAAACGCTCTGGTGTGAAGGTAGTTTCGGGCGTCGTCGGGACCAGGGAAAGGCGTCGCCCGCCGCAGCGGCCTCCTTCGGAGTCAAAATTCCACTGCTGGTCCTCTGCGAGGCTGGGTCGCACAACATCCCCCCTGAACCGTTGCGCTCGCGCTGCTGACGCGTGGTACTGCCATCCGCGCTTCCACTCGCCAGGCTCCAGCTCCGTCTGCCGCGGGCGCGCGCCGCCCCATACCTCTTGCCAGTTTGGGCAAGCAAAGCCGTCGCGAGTGGCTGCGACCCTTATTAGCGCGCTCGGTCTCCTGGAGACACTCGGCCGCGGCGCCTGTCCCAGTGCGGAGGGCGGCGGCGAGCCCTCCTGCTGCTATAAGGTTTCTTTGTCGCAGCATGGGGAGCGCGTCTGCCCACGACGCCCAGTAGGCACATTCAGCCGCGCGCGCTGCTGACCCCAGCCCGAGACCGCCGAGGCCGAGCGGCAGCGAACTCACACGGAAGAGTCTTTCTGCGCCCGCCAGCGAGGGGGCAAGGTCGAGGAGGCCGCACAGCACTTCCTGGAGCGAGCGGCCGTGCCCCTCCGCGAAAGGCCGCGACAAGGATGGCGGCAGCGCGCGCAGCACGCGGTTGCACCGTGGCACAGCGCAGTACAAGAGGAGGGCCCAGGCACACTGAAGGTCGGGCAAGTGTGGGAGCTCTTGAAGGAATCTGCGCCCCTCGTCTGTCCGCTCTTGGTCTGCCTGGCTGCGAACGCCGGCGCGCCAAGGGGCGCGCCGAGCACCTTGAGGCCGCGGTGCTCCTCTGGCGCCTGGGCCCCGCCGACCCACACGTCTGTGCCCAGCGCCCGGTGCACTTCTGCTTCGAGGCCGCCTCGGTTCCACAGGCGGCGCTTGCCGAGGTTCGCCTCGATGCCCGCCCACTCCCGCATTGCGTTCGTGACGTCGTAGACAGCTGCAGTGGCCCGCTCTGGTCTGCATACGATGTAGACGTCGCCGCGGCAAGCAAGCAGTTCCCCCCCAGGTTGCAGCCGCGCGCGCGCCATCTCCAGGGCGCCGTGTTGGGCCAAGGAATGCAGCGCTGACATAGGCGGGTCGCCCTGCTCTCCGCCCTCCCCCTGCGTCACCTTGCGCGCAACTCCCAGAAGTACCTGGGCGGCCGGCCGTGCGAGAGCAACACAAAGGGAACCAAGGCAGAGGCCCCAGGCAAGGACAGGAGCTTCTCGATCAGACGGTCGCGGCGCACGTGGTCGACGACACCAATGCCGTCGATGCCCACGACGGTTGCGGCGGCGTCAGCGCCAGTGGCGGCGCGGAGGAAGCGGGCCGCGCTGTCTGCACCAGCTCGCGTCGACAGCGCGCACTTGAATGGCAAGCAGGCGTCGTCCAATTTGCCGAGAGAGCGCTTTCGCGACAAGCCTGCGGAAGGCATCTCCTGCCACTACCCCTCGCGCGCGGCCGCTGCCCTTCAGCAACACGGCCACGCGGCCAGTGCCGAGGGCGCGGGCGACGCTCACTGGGACCTCTGCCCGGGCGTGCACCTCCGCCACGGCAGCCTGAAGCTCGAGCGCGCCCTCCTCGCGCAAGGCCAACTTGAGGAGCTCAAAGCTTGCTCCGCACAGCGAGCTAGAAGACCCCTTCGGCGCAGAGCGGACGCACCCAGACCAAATGTGGCGGTCTAGCTCGACCGGGCGGGCCGGGCGGAAAGCGCGCGCAGCTGCCGGCAGCGCGGCCGCGAGCAGTGGCGGGCGCCGAGCGGGGCCCCGCAGCTCAGCCAGCGTCTCGGCCGTGCCTGGCGCTAGCCCGCGCGACGCCAGCAACTGTCGAGCTTTGCTGAGGCCGCCTGCCCTGACCAGCGCCACCGCCTTCTCTTGGGCGCGCTGGCGGCTCGCCTCGGCGTCGCCTGCGCGGCGCGCCGCTGGAGCGCCCGTGCCTGAGCGCTCGGCGCGAGCAGCGCTTCCCACGAGCCCTCCTCGAATTGCTCCAGTCGCTTTTCGAGCTCTCGCCGCCCCGGGGCCCCGGCGCTGGCGGGCCTCTGCAGCAGCATGCGCCACACGAGGATCAGCAGCGCCCACGCCCTCAACCCCTGCAGTTCGCCGTCCTCGCTGGGGAGAGCGCCCGCGCGCAAGACCTCCTGGAGCACCACGCGGTAGGCTTGCCGGAGGCGGCCTCGAAGGAACGCCGGGGGCGCCCGGATGCACGCCACCCAGCGGCGGAGTTCGGCTTCTAGGTCGGCGCCGCCAAGAAGCGCCCAGGCGGCGTCAGTGAAGGCGGAGCAGGCTGGGCGTTGTCGACGCGCCGCGCCGCCGCCTCAGCAGGGCTGGGCCTGCGCTGGCGGCACGGCGCCCGCTCTGTCGGAGGCGCCCTGGCTGTCGCCGCTCTGCTCGTCGTCGCTGTCGCCGCGGCTGCGCCTGCTGCTGCTGGGCGGGTTCCCGCCTCCACCACCGCCTCTTCCTCCTCTGGCGCCTCGGCCTCTGCCTCCTGTCTCTCATCTGCCGCCCCTTCCTGTTCTGCTCCCACTGGCGTCGCCCAGCCTTCGGCCTTCTCCTGCGACCCCCCTGCTGGCGTCGCCGCGTGGTTGAAGTCTCGGCGGCACAGCTGGCGGCGGCATATGCGGGGCGGCTGCGGCCCACCTGGCCGGGTCGCTAGGCTCGTCTGTGCGCTGGTCGACTCCCCACGCCAGCACGACCCGTCTGAAATGCTCATGCAAGAGGCCCCGGACGAGGTCGTCGACGTGGCCGGCGCTGTCCGCAGGCGCTCTTACTACAGGCTGCAAGTTGACATGTCCAGGGCGCGCCCCGCTTCCAGCGGCGACCCCGGCCTGCCCCTGCACACCCCAGCCCTTGGGCGAAAGTCTCGGCTGGCACGGGGCCCGCTCGCTGCAAAGCGTCGACCGTCGGCTGCCACCAATCGCGCGCGAGCGCCACTACCTGCTGGTCAAGCAGACCCCGCCGTCGCCAACAACAAGGGAACGTAAACGTCTGAGTTTCTTCGCGCCCGCAGCGGGCACGCTGGGGGGCACCGTCCGGCGAAGCGGCCGGGCTGCCGCTGCCGCGCGCTGGTGAGCGCTTGTTCGGGGCGCGCTCCTGCGCCTGCTCCTGGCGCGGACGGCGGCTGAGGGCCAGCGGCGGCTGACTCGGGAAGTGGCGTGGGGGCGCAACCCTGGCGGAGCCAACCTCCTTGCCACGTCCGTGGCTCTCCTGCGGCCCCAGGGGCCCGCGCGACCCACTCGAGTGGCCCTGGCTGTCCGCAGGGGCGCTGCGGCGGTCTCGCGCCCCGCGGCGGCGGGACATCGGCCCCCAAGGGCGCGACGTCGCAAGCGACGCATTCCCGGGTGCGGAAAAGCCCGCGAGGTCCACGATAGCGCCGCCACCGAATTGCTTGCAGGCCTCGCGGGCGAATTGCGATGGCACGTGGCACGGGCCCTCCTGATTGCAGCAAGGGCTCTCCTGCGCAAAGGTCCGCCTCATCCTCCTCGCTTGGCGGGTCGGCCGCGGCTCGGCAGCGCGAGCACCTGCACCCTTGGGTCGGGTAATCTCCAGATGCCAGACGTCACGAGGCCCGCAAGCGCCGCCGCGCCACCTGGCGAGCCACCCCACGGGCCGCTGCAAAGGGGGCGCGGCGACCTTTCGGCTCGGGACGCGCCCCCTGCGCGGAGCAAGCGAACCAGGCCCGCCCGTGTCGGCCAATGTCTGGCCGCGCATGCCGCGTGGAAGCGGCGGGGGTCACGGCCGCGGGCTGGCCACGCCACGGTGCCCCCTCCGAGCGGCGTTCGGCAGATGGCGCAGTGGTCCTCCTCGTTGCCCTCCTCTTGCTGCCCACGCTGCCGCTCTGCCTCTCCCGGGCGCCACGGCGTTTGCGGCGGGGACAACCCCGAGAAGTTCCACTGCGCAGCGCCGACTGGGGAGGCGGGCGCCTGGTCGAACACGTCGGCGCCCTCTTCCTCTGGCGCAGCTGTTCGCCCAGAGCCGAAGACTGCGTCGAAATGGTTCGCTGGCGGCGGCGGCGGCGGCTGCAGCGGTGATTGGGGCCGCTCGCCCGTTCTCGAGTCTGGCGTCGCGAACCGTTTGGGCGCCGAGAGCATGTGCGGAGGCGTTGCTGCCAGCGGAGACCTTGGGGCGGACTCGCCCGATAGACGTTCGGGCGAGCGCGGCGGGTCGTCGGCTGGGCGCGGCGGCCCTGGGCGGCTTGCCTCGCCGACCCGCTGACCGCGGTATCCATGGAGCGCGTCTCGTGGATCCCTGGATGGGTCGCGGTGCTGTTGCGTTGGTGCTGGTCGTCGTTATGCTGTTGCTTGCTGTGGTGGCGATCGTCGTTGTAGTGGCGCTGGTCGTCGTTGCGGTGCTGGTCGTCGTTCCTAAGTTGCTCGTTGCGGTGGTGGCGGGCGCGCTTGCGGCGGTGCGCTCGGAGCCGGGCCAGAGCAGGCGCGCTCCCCGAGTAGCCCCGCCCGCGCCATCTCCTTGTCAGCCTCGGTTTTCTTGCGCGGTCGGCGCGGGGCCTGACCGCACCGCGGCCGCCAAGGGTGCAGAGGCAAGTTGCTCTGGTCGCGGCGTTGCTTCGGCGGCTGGCCCTCGTCGCGCGGCGCCTGGCCCTTGGCCGCCCCTCGCGCTCATCGGGCGGCGGCCCGGGCAAACCTTCTGCCAAACCTCCGTCAAGAACGCGCGCCAGTGGTGAAAGGCCGTTGCCTGCTTCAAAAGCGCGACGTGCTCGGCGATCGCGCCCTCTAGGTCTTGTCTCGCGGCCCGTCGGCGAGCCCGTCGAAAGCCTTCGCGAGCGAAAGCTGCCCGGCACGGCGCCTACCCAGCCTCTCTTGCCCCCTGTGACCCCTCCCGGCGAAGGCCGCGGGTGCACCCTGTAGGCGTGACTCCCTGCACGTCGCGGTGTCGATGCTGCTTCCAATTGTCGCGGTCGCGGGCGTTGCGACGCCGCTTGGTGTGCGCGCGTTGTTCTTGGCGTCGCTGGCCCTGCTCTTCCTCTGCCTCTGCTTCGGCGGCCCGCCGAAGACGGAGGGGCCCGAACGACTCACCCCTGATCAAAGCGGGCCCCTGCCTGAGCTGGCAGCTCTTCCTCGCGCGGGCCTCCGAAGTGCAGCGACGCCCGCCCACCACCTCCCCCGGGCCTGGTGGAGGGGCGGGGCCAGGCGGGAGCTCCGCAGTGCTGCTCCTCTCCTGGCGGGGTCCGCCTGCGCGGTCGCTCCCGCCTCGTCCTCTTCCTCGTCTCCCCTGGCGGGGTCCGCCCGTGCAGGTGCCCCCGCCGCCTCCTCTTCCTGGCGCTGCCTCGCGCGCCTTCCCCCGGAGGCGTTGCTCCTGCGCCCGCCTTGCACGCGCGCCGCCCCCCCTCTCGCCGCGCCGCCGCTGCTTCCCCCGAGCGGCGACGCGGCAAGTCGGCACGCAGGCAATATGGCCAAGGCGAAGGTACCATCGCGCGCGGCCAGGGCCCGCCCCCCCCCCCCCCCCCTTGACCCGGCCCACGAGCCGGCCCTTAAGCCGACCCTTGGGCCATTCCATGAGCCAGGACCCCCGCTCACGCCCGAGACTTCCTCGCACTTTATTCAGGAATCGCGCTCTCGCTTGGGACTTCTTTGCAATTAATTCAGGAATCGCTCTCCTGGCGCTCTGGAGTCGCGCTGTCGCTGGTCTCACTTTACTGGAGCACACCGCCCGGGCGCTGGCATTCCCAGCAACTTGCTCAAGCGCCGCGCCCCCAACACCCAGGCGCCCAGGAGTCGCGCCCGTCCTACGCGGCCAAGTTGCTACCCTCAGTGGCCCCACCGTTGCCTTCTGGACCCGGCCTTATCTGCCCTTCGTGGCCCCCGTTCGTTCGCGCTCCTCGTGGCCCCATACGCAATCCCTTCGTGTCCCCGCTGCCCCCCTTCGTGGCCCTCTTCGTGTCCTTCGTGGCCCTGCTGTCGTTCTCTCTCGCTCTCGCTTTCGCTCGTCGTCGTCGTCGTCGTCGTCGTCGTCGGCCCCCTGTCCGCCCCTCTCGGGGTCGGGTCGACCGTCCGCGGCCGCCCCGCCGACTCTCCGCGGCCGCCCCGCCGCTTGCCAGGGCCAAGCCTGCAGGGGGGAAAGGTGCACCCCCCAACAGGGGTTCGATCGAAGACGAAGAACGCGGGCATCGAGGGTTTGGGAAATTCGCGTTCTTGGACATTCGATTCAAGCCGGGGGCCAACGACACAATTTGACCCTCCAAACTGTCCCGAGATAACATCGGGGCGCGGGTGCGAGCCCCAGGAGGGGCACGTCAATCGAAAAAAATACACTGCGCGCCGGGCGGGGGGGGCCAACCATCTTTAAGAAGGAAAGTTCAACAACAAGAACAACAAGACAACAATCCGCACCGATTAACCCCACTTCGGCCACCCGCCCACGAAGGCAGCGAACGACCGCTCGGCTCCCTCACTCTGCTCAGCGCCAGGGCCTTCTGAATTGATGTGTCTTGGGAAGCCGCCACGCGTCTTCATTTTTGCGCGTTGCCCCCACGGGGCGCTCTCGGTCGCGAGGGCGACACGCGCAATACCTCCGAGGAAGGAGACACCTCAGAGTTTCGGTCAGGGCTATGAAGCTATCGGCCTATTCGACCACAGAACTCCAGGGCTAAAGGGTTGAATGGCTATAGGGCTGTAGGGCTCGAAAGCTAGGAAGGGCTATTGGACTATGAACTACATGGGCTCTGGGGCCACTGGGGTGCTCGGCTGGAGGGCCCTAAAGCTCGACAGAGCACTAGCCCTTTAGCCCTATAGCCCTCGAGCCTTTGGGCCCTGTAGCCCTATAGCCCTATACCACCCAGGCATCCCCAAGCACCTCGGGGCACCCCGCGGCACCTCCAAGCCCCCCCCGGGCACCCAGGCACCGGAGCACATAGCCCCCCCCGGGCACCTGGGCACCCGGACGCCCGGGCACCCGGGCACCCAGGCCGGCAACCGAAATCGGCGACCCACCTGACCTAAGCGCACGCATCCGTCAGGATCCCTCTAGAGGCAAGCTCCGATTGGGGAACCCTGCTTGATTTGCCACCCGCTCCTTATTATTCGGTTTTCTCCTTCGTATTATTATTCTTCTTCGTATCCGTAGTATGAAGTATTATTGTTAGTTTTTCGTATCAGTATTCTTCTTTTTATTATTATTATTATTATTAATACTATTATTACGGCTCGTGTTATTAGTATT